TCTCGAGTGAGGGTTGTGCCAGACTTAGAAATCGTTTTAACAGAAATTTTCAGGCAGTGAAATCGTCTTGTCTTGATTTGATTTTCATTTCGCCCATTGTGTTAACGCTTAAGGTAAGCAAACAATAAAGAAACTTTCGATCTTGTTCAGAAAATTGAAACAAACTGGATGCGTTTTCTGTTACATTCGGGTGCAGAGGATTCTGAGCGAACAGTGAACTGAGTGTCTGTAAAACACGAGTCAATGCCGTGTTTACCATCGATTGAGCTCACACAAACACAGACATTTCTCTCAGGTTGTGCTTATAGCAAGGGTTGCTTGACTGTGGTGTCATGTAAGTAATAGGAGTGTTATTTTACGTCACTTGTCCTGCATTCACAATTCGTATAAACATTTTGGTGCAGAACTGATATGTTTCTATAGATATTAGTTAATAATACAATTGTTCCGAAAACTGAAACAGCCTGACTGGAATTTTCACTCAATTTATTCTTAATGATGAATGGGTTACGATACAGTTAATATGAGGAGACTAATCCTGCGACTCCATTTGTGTTTGTTCAAAAATATGGAGACATCTGGTTTAGTCTGGTGGTGGCCTGAATTCAGGAAAACATAATTTTCTTTGAGGCTAGGTACATCCACATTAAGTGAGGAGGAGAATGACAGAATCTTGTTTGAGCATCAGTTGATGAACAACAATGTCACACAAATGGAGAGAGAGAGTGAGAGAGAGAGAGAGAGAGGTAGTTTTTGTTTCATAACTTCATTCAGTTTTTCAATTCTGGAAACCTGCTTAACGTTTTTTTAATTGATCCCTGCCAATTGCAGTTAACATAATCGTGGTCAGGGTAATTACTGATGTGTTGATCCTTTTTGCATTTATCCGTGGTAGTTCCGTGAGTGGTAGCTATTTAAGTGCTGGAATCCCTAATTTTGTGAATTATTTTCCTGAAGCGCATTGCCGGGGTTAAGTCAGCCTTTTGAGAGTGAAATGTCTGGCACAGAGTTACTAATGCAAGTATATTTGGTCCATTAATTTCCACCCAATTTGCTGGAACGAATTACACTGGTCGTAACTGAACATATATGTAGCAGGCTGAATTTATATTGTGTCGTTTGATTTTCAGTTGCCCTCTGTTGTGTCTAAGATATGTGGCAGTAGATAAGAAAAAAAATGACTCGCACAGCAACTTTATCCACTTTGCTCAATAGCTGCGTTTCACATTGTAGAATTTTGAATAAGTTAAAAACCATTTCAAAAACTTTTTGACGAATGGCGAAAGGAATTTTATTCAAATACACGAACATCAATTTTGTCGAGTTTGGATAACTGAGTCGTACCTTAAAGAAACGCAAAGTATTTTGGTAAAATACTCAGCAGATTCAGCAGCATCCATAAAGATAGAAGCACAGTTAATATGTAGAATCTGGTTTGAGTATTCTTCAGAACTGAAAAACAGACAGAAAAGTGTCATGCCAGACTCGCAACATCAACATTGTTTCTCTCTCCACAGGCCCTGCGAGCCCTGTTGTGTTTCTTGAGCGTTCTCTGTATTTGTTTCAGATTTCTATCCGCCAGAGCATTTTTTTTCCTTTCGTCAGGTGTCTTACTTGTTTCGAACTATTTTTGTGAAGGGGGTTATATTGTTGTACAAGAAAATAGTTACAAACAAAACAGAGAAATCATGAAATCCTTGGAGGTAATTTAATTTGTAAAATTTTGAGTTCACTTGGAATTTCAATTTTATTTGAAACCTTTTGGGTTCACTTCACTTGGATCAGATGACAACTGACGTGATGGGGAATAACTTTTTTCATTATGTTCATAAGGTTTTCTTTTAAAGAGTTGGAGAAGTGCATGATATATAATCTCGGAAGTTGCACAAACCATTTTACTATTCACCTCGTGCCACAGTTACGAACAACTGACTCCTTGTCACACTATTGCTCTGTGATAAATGTACACTTTCACGAAGAAACAGTTGGGAGAAACGCTTCAAAGTAGAAATGTTCAACTCATTGTTTTTCTTTTTTATTGTGACTTGAATCTTTATCTTTGATATTATTCTACTAAGTGGGTACAATTCAAAATCCATTCGACATGTTTTCACTTTAATTAATGACGAAAATCACATTATACAAGACGTGAATAAATTTGATAATTCCTGAATTTTTACTTAATTTATGTTCCATGTTAATTCATATTCAAAAGTGACAGCTTTTCTGCATTTCTGTCAATGTCAGTAATTTGTTTCTTTATATTCCAGTCATGATTGACATTTAATTCAGTTATATAGATTTCAATCAAAGTGTGATTATATTATTAAATTTAATAAGCATACAATTTTTAAAAAAAAATCCTGTATCCCATGTGTAGCTGAAGCAGACTGGAAATGAACTTGCCATGTTTCTTGTTACACTGATTCAGCTTGATTTAGGTATCAATCTGTGTAGAATAGAATATTTCGGAGTGAAATCTGTAGAACCCAGCGATTCTACCGATTCTCAGTTCTTTCCACATTGAAAATTATGTCCTCTGCTACTTTGCAAACCAATTATCATGTCAGATAGAAAATTTTAAAAACTGCACAAATGTGCATGCATGTTCCAAAGCAATCATAATTATTCTCTAATAATATCCAGTTTAGAATCAGAAGCAAAATGTTTTGAATAGTCTTAGTTTGTAACAGTGCTCCATCAGTTACTATGTTCATAATTAATGCCACTGATCTGACGTGGATTTTTTGTTTGAGAAAACTGCCCAGTTAGAGACGAATATCAAAAGTCTGATATATCACATTGAGATCAACATCCTATCTTGAGCAATATTGTGCAGAGAGTTTCAAAAGATATTTAACATTGTTAGTATCCATTATTTTTTCTGCTAAATCAACAAAACTCTTGCAATTTTAAGTATCTTGGCCTGTATGCGAACATTGTAGGAAACAATCCTTTCAAATTCTCACAACAGTGTTTAATTGTTCAGCAGTATTTAGGAGAAGAGGCAGTGAGTGGTGAGTGGTCTAATGAAGTGAAAATGTGCAAGCTGAGAAAGAGAAAAGACTCAAATTTTATTGGATGAAGAAAGACAATATCCCAGTGCATGCACCATCCTCCAAGACATTATCTTAGATTTTCGTTGTTCATTTTCCACGACGAATCACATTCTGTAAAATAAAAAAAAAAACAACAAATATTCAGCATTGACTTGAAGGGACATTGCCCACACATGAGAAAAAGCTAAAACGATGGGTCAAGTCGATGAATGCAGGTTATTACAGATGGGGAGGCGATGGCGTTGTGGTATTATCGGTGGAATGTCAACCTAGAGGCCGAGTTAATGTTCTGGAGACCCCGATTCGAATCCTGCCACTTGACAACAGCCCATTGATGACCATGAATCCCTCGTCGATTGACAGAAAAAAAAAATCTGGTTCGTTAATATTCGTCAAGGAAGGAAATCTGATACCCTTACCAGGCTGACCGATACATGACTCCAGACCCACAGCAATGTGGCTGATTCTTAACTGCGCTCTGGGCAATTAGTGATGGGCAATAAATGCTGCCTGGCCAACGATGCCCTCATCCTGTAAATGAATAAAGGGGAAGAAAGAGAATCTCTACAGCAGAAACTGAATGAATCCCAGGCCAGCACTGAGTGTCCATCTGTGAACACATCTGACACACGGTCCGTCTTGGCTTAATGAGTGAGAATAGAAGTAAAATTATTCTGAGACTGAAAACAACCAATTATACATTTATACATTATTTAAAAGTTGCATGGGAAAGAATTTGCAGGAAATAAAAATTCATTAAAGTTTGTCACGCAATCGGAGAAATTTCAACTGAATTTAAATTGAATATGTGTTTTGATTCCTACATCATTTGGGTAGGAGTGCAATATGTTATCAATGAACATCATGAACAGGGCAAACTCAGAATGCACTTGAAACTTTTTAAAAATCTAAAACGGGTTCGTTATCAATCTGTTTCCGGTGCAGTTGGACTTGGGTAATAAATAATCCAAAAGTGACATATTGAGGGCAATGAGGAAAGGAGCTGGAACTAATTGAGCAGTTTGTTCAAAGTGGTAGCAAAGGCCCCTTCGAATGAAAGATGTTCTTCCTTTGTTTTGACAACTGGAATTATTTTTTGACACTTACACTTCTGAAGAAGGGTCCAGGACCGAAACGTCAGCCTTCCTGCTCCTTTGATGCTGCTTGGCCTGCTGTGTTCATCCAGCTCTGCACCGTGTTATGTCAGATTCTCCAGCATCGGCAGTTCCTACTATCTCTGTAAAGAAGGGTCTCGACCCGAAACGTCACCTTTCCTGCTCCTCTGATGTTGCTTGGCCTGCTGTGTTCATCCAGCTCTGCACTGTGTTATCTCAGATTCTCCAGCATCGGCAGTTCTTACTTTCTCTGGAAAGAAGGGTCTCGACCCGAACCGTCACCTTTCCTGCTCCTCTGATGTTGCTTGGCCTGCTGTGTTCATCCAGTTCTACACCCTGTTATCTCAGATTCTCCAGCATCGGCAGTTCCTACTATCTCTTAAACTCCTGCATTGTTTTAATGGGGCTCCTTGCTTTGTTTCCACTGGGAAATATTTATGCTCTGTACAGGGATCATAATTATGTTGAGTAAGTCGGCAGTGCAGGACTGAGCAGAACAATGAGTAATTTTGTGAAACCTCCACAATGCCAACACATGGAACATAATGTCCCTCACCAAGGTCCCAGTACTTTGGTTTGGCAGTGCGACTGTCGATTTGAAATCAATTTTGTTCGATTTCGGAAAAAGATATGTCCATATTTATTTGTGGAGAAGTCACATTTCCTGATGTATATGCATTGCTTAAAATGATGATTTCACATTTCGAGATACTGTTTATCTTGCTAAGTAATGGCAATTTTTATCCCCAGTTCATTTGAACATTTTGAATTTATTTCGAAGTGTTGCATTAATTCCTGACCCTTTATTTTTATCCTTGTGTTTCAGGCAGACTTGTCGACACTCAGGCCGAGAGCACAGGTAAGTGTATGTCATTATCATATGGAGTAGAATCCCTATATTCTGGTGTGTCTGTTCGAACACCATGTTGTGGTGTTAATGTGCGTGCATTAATGTTCATGTGTTAACCAGCTCTGTGGACATAACTGAAGGGGGATGCCGTACTCCTGAAGATCGCTATTTCCAGAGTTCCTGGGAAAGAGAGTGTGAGCAGTAATCTCCACTCACACTGGTCTTCTCAGGTCGTGAGTCAATAATTGAGGGTTCGTGGAGAGGAGAGTGGGAACGATCAGCTCCAACTCACGCTAAAGTCCTCAGTTCATGAGAGAACGTGTGAGGGTTTCTGGAGAGGAGAGAGTGAAGGATCAGCTTCCACTCATACTGCTGTTCTCAGATCGAGAGACGATGAATAAGGAGGGTTTAAAAGATCAACTGAACACACAGTGCTGCTGTCGGAAACTCATTTAAATAATTTCACTCACTATTGAACATTGACATCATGGTCGCGTGATCATGCATCCCATGACGTTTCTGGCTGTGCTGGACGGATGTACCGTCTCATTGTATTATGATCCCAGGGTTGGGTCCTTCGTGTTTTCTCGCCAGTCAGTGCTGAACACGATGGAAAGCAGACCATTCTTGACGCGGTCCTCTCACTTTTCCTGAATTTCAAGTATTTTCTGAACAGTTGCCTGAATGGGTGAAGATCCAACCAAACTCAAAAACCTCAACATCAATCAAGACAAAGCAGCCCACTTGCTTGGCCCCACATCGACTCCTTCCACCACCGACGCCTCGCAGCAGCAGTATGTACTATCCACAAGATGCGCTGCAGAAATTCACGAAAGCTCCTGAGTCGGCATCTGCTAAACACCTGACCACTTCCATCGAGAAGGAAAAGAGCAGCAGATACACGGGATAACCACCAGCTGCCATTTCCCCTTCAAAAACATTCACTATCCTGTCTTGGAAATATATTGCTTGGTCAGAATCCTGGAATTCCCTCCCGAAAATGTTTATGCATCCACATGCAGCACATGACCTGCAGCGGTTCACGAAGCCAGCTCACCACCACCTTCTCAAGGGGGCAACAGGGGACAGGGTAATAAATGCTGGCCCAGGCAACGACGCCCACGTCCATGAATGAATAATGATAATCTTCTCACGTTTCTCGATTAGAGTATTGTTTCTGTGGAAATATTTCTCTGTGCCTCGCTCTCTTTGAGTGAGCTCCTCTTAATAAAACGTCCCTTACCCTTTCAACAGATACAGTCCATCTTCTGAGTGATATTTTTGGAAGAAGATATTTGCACCATACCCTCACAGCCATTCATAGCGAACGGGGAAGTGGGCTGTGATGGGAGTTTTCATGTTTATACTTTGTGAACCTTCGTTGCTATTCCTGTGTTTTACAGAGACAGCGAGTCTAAGACTTGTGAATGGGGGCAGTCCTTGCGCTGGCCGAGTGGAGGTTCATTACAAGGGGCTATGGGGGACTGTGCATGATTATAACTGGGACCTGCCGGATGCTACTGCTTTGTGTCGGGAGCTGGACTGTGGGACTGCCGTCTCTGCGCCGGGCGGGAGTCAATTTGGACTAGGATCCGGACCCATTGTGACAGGAAATGTTTTGTGCAATGGGACCGAGCGTGCTCTGCGTGACTGTCCATCCGTACAATGGGATCACTACGTCGGTCCACATGCCAATGATGCTGGTGTCATCTGTTCAGGTAAAAATCGAATTGGTTGGGTGATTTGTCCGCAGGCTGCTTTCTCTCGGCCCAGCTGAGGATCAGGAATCGGTGGTTAACATAAATGGGGGCGACAGGGCATCAACCCTACACAGATTGATGGAACATTTCACACATGAATGTGATAAATCTGCCATTAATCAGTCAATAAGTCCATCAGTCAATAATGTGAGTTATAATTAATGCAATTTCTTATGATTCAATGTTTTTTTTTTCAGAGCACAGAGCTCCGAGGTTGGTGGCTGGAAATTCCCAATGCTCCGGCAGATTGGAGATCCAGTTCGGTGACACTTGGAAAACAGTGTGTGGTCTTGACTGGGATTTGAAAAATGCCAATGTTGTCTGTGCACAGCTTCATTGTGGAGTGGCCATCTCTGTGTCAAGATCTACTCTTTCTGGAGGCAGTCCTGTGCTCATTGTTAACGAGGTCTTTAAATGTACGGGTAATGAGACTCAGCTGCAGAGGTGCCCTCGGTCTTCAGACACTCACCAGGATTGCAGTGGACACAACAATGTCACCCTGACATGTTCTGGTGAGTACAGACTGAATACAAAAAGCGCACATTTCGCTTTAATGTTTGCAAACGTGATGGAACTGCCATTCCTGCCATTGCTCACCGGTCCAAAAACACAAGCCTGTTTGTGTTCGAGTATTGCTCATTTGCACCTCCTCAAGGAACATGACACCCTTTGTGATTTGTGTGTTGCACTTGATTCATAGAATGCTCACAGTGTGGAAACAGGCCATTTGGCCCAACAATTCCACACCGACTGTCCAAAGAGCGTCCTACCCTATCCCTGCCTTTCCTATAGCTAATCCACATTACTTACACATCCCTGGACACTATGGGCACCGTAGATTGGCCAATTCACCGAGCATGCACATATTTGGACAGTGGTAAGTAACCAGAGCAGCCGGACGAAGCCCACACAGACACGGGGAGAAGGGGCAAACTTCAAACAGAAAGTCCCTCGAGAGTGGAATCGAGACCCGGTGCCTGGAGCTGTCAGGCAGTAGAGCTAACCACCGAGCCACTGTGCCACCATACCACAGGGTCATCAATTGGCATCATAGACACATGTACAGAATACCCCGCAGCAGTGCTCTCTGTTGTATGCTATCACACAGCTCGTTGATACAAGTTGTTCTGCTCTCCTCCTCAGTTACAGTATTTGAGGCGATTCCTCCCAGAATCCTTCTCAGCATCGCCCTCAGTTGTATTCAATGCTTTTCTATCGGCCGTAACAGAACCGGATAACAATCATCACAACGTTTCTGCTTCTGGCCTAATAAACTCTATTTACAAATTTAATTTTAAGTTGCATTTTTGGTTATTCTGCCAAGTTTTGTGTCAATTTCATACATCTGAGCTCTTGAAGTGTTAGACCCTTTTTATCTCAGTGCACATATTCAAAACGTGAGTAGTTGAAAAGTGAAAGCGTTCAATTCTATCTTACAAGTCATTTTCCAGCCTGCCAAAATGTGTCCCCATGACAACTCTTTGCATTAATTTCCATCTGTCACTTGACTATCCATCCTGCTGGCCTTTTCACGCTCTGCTAAAATTGTTCACTGCCATAATTAATGATTTGAAAATATTAATTTCTCGCATATGATCTAATTTTGAACTTTTACTTTGCATCTTAATGCAAACTTGGAAATGTCTATGCCCCATTCTACAAAATCCTCAAATACACAACTTGTAATTGATTTCTTTATTATGTGATGTAAGTTTTAAAGAGCCGTCCTTTTCCAATTTTCTGATTAGTTTGCGCAATTGAGTTACTTAACTTTCTCCAATAAATTTTATTAGTTGAAGTGAAAAATAAGAAACAAAAGAAGCAGAAGGGAGCTCAAGATTAGAGCAACATATCGAGATTCTGAAGAAAGATAACAGTGGGTTCAATTGGGCAATAAATATTGACATTTTGACAATTGCACATTGCAATTAGCATTTGATGCACAGGCTGGGGTTTTTCACTTGGATGCTCTGCATCTTATTCCAGAAAATGTCTTTTACATTATAAATATCTCAATTATGTTAATCTGAACAGCAGGACAGATTTTCTGTTACATACGGGAGCAGAGGATTCTGCTCGAACAGTGAAGTCGGTGCCTGTAAACCAAAAGCCAATCCTGTGTTTACCGTAGATTGAACTCACACAAACCCAGGCAGTTTTCTCAGATTGTACGTATAGCAAGGGTTACTTGACTGCGATGTGACGTAAGAAAAGAACTGCTATTTTCAGTCAATTGTCACATTCAAGATTCGTATAAACATATTGATGCAGAACTTATACATTTCTACATATATTGGCCAATATCATAACTGTTCCGAAAACCATATTACTGAAACTTCCTGACTGACACTTTTGCTTAATTCTTTCTTGGTAATCAATGTGTTACCAGACAATGACTGTGAGGAGATTAATCCAGTGACTCTTTTTCTGTTTGTTCAATAATATGTGGACATCCGGTTTCACCAGTATTACTGAAAATCCAAACTAGTGATGGTGATCTGAATTCATGGACCACTGCATTTCATTGAGGCCAGGTACTTACCCAACACATGAGGAAGACACTTGCAGAATCTTGTTCAAGCATCAGTAAGTGAACAACAATGTCAGTCCAATCAGGATAGGGACCTACAGTTGGCAGAGTTTCCATTTTCTGTGCAACTCTACTGGCGGTGTGATTGCCATTTTGTTCGGTTGTCTGAAAGAGCTTAGCTGAGTTATTGCAGTTAATCTTGATAATGTCACTTCCAAGATTGAGCTTTGGGTGTGAATGCATTACGTTTTGGAGCCAAAGGACGAGATATAAATCAAGCTATTTTCTTCATCCCAGATGCTGAAATTTTTGTTGCAGTTCAACTTAAGCCGTGTTTCTTTGATAAATCTGGATTGTGTATTGTTGATAGTGAGCATGATTAGAGAGTCAGAAGATGAATTGTGTAGAACATCCTGCAGCTCTTCACCAATTGTAGCTGAAGGATAGATATCATAGTTCAGATTCTGATAAACACTGATGTGATAGAATCTCAATAATGTGCATTTACATGTAAATATCCCACTTTGCGTTAAGTATGGCTTCTCAAGGTCTTTCAAATTTTAGTCCAAATTACTGAATATTCAGTGAGATATGAACACTTGTTTCTTATTCACCTTCCGCTGGATGTATAGAAACACATAAAATAACACACACGTTCACACACACACAGAGTTCAGTTTTTTGGTCCATAACCTCATTCAGTATCTCAGTAGTGGAAATCTGCTTCTCGTTGTTTTAAATGATCCCTTTTAAGAGCAGTAAAAATATTCATGTTCAGGGTAATTTCTGACGTGTGGACATATTTTAGCATGTATCCGTGTTAGTTCCTTGAGTATTAACTAGTTAAGCGCTGGAATTCCAATTTTGTGAATATTTTCTTGAAGCGTGATGCAAGGATTAAGTCAACCTTTCGGGAGTGAAATGTTACAGTTAGTAATTCTAGCAAATTTGATCCATTAATTTACACCTCATTTTCTGAAACTAATGATACTGCTTGTAACTGAACTTTATATCTGGCAGGCGGAATTTATATCGACTCCTTTGAATTTCAGTTGCTCTCTGTTTTGTCTAAGATATGTGCCAACAGATAAAAAGCAGACATGCACAGCGACTTTGTTCAGTTTGCTCGATAACCAGCTTTTACGTTGTAAGAATTTGAATAACTTATCAACTGTTTTATAAACTGATGCATCGAGAAAGGAATTTTATTTAAATATATTAACATCCGTTTTGTCGGGTTTGGATAACAGAGTCATAGCTTAAAGAAACATAGAGAATTTTGGAAAACTCAGAAGGTCTAGTTGCATCTCTCAAGAGAGAAGCGCAGTTAACATTTCGAGTCTGGTATGAATATTCTTCAGAATTAAAGAACTGACAAAAAAATGTCGTACCAGATTCGCAGCATTAACATTGTTTCTCTCTCCACAGGTGCTGCTTGACCTCTTGGGTTTCTCCAGCGTTCTCTGCATTTGTTGCAGAATTCCAGCACCCATTGTATTTTCCTTTAGCATGATGTCTTACTTGATTTGGTCTTTTTGTGAAGGGGTCCTCATTGTTGTACTAGATAATGGTTCCAAACCAGAGAGAGAAATCATGAAATCCTTGAAGGTAATTGAATTTGAAACCTTTTTGATTCACTTGGGACAAGATTTGACTGGGGACCGATACAAGAATACTTTTTCTTAGAAAGGGAAGTTGTGTAGAACAACTCAAAGAAAAGTTTCAGAATTTAGTTTGCGAACCTTCATCACCAGGGGTCCTCATTGTTGTACTAGATAATGGTTCCAAACCAGAGAGAGAAATCATGAAATCCTTGAAGGTAATTAAATTTGAAACCTTTTTGATTCACTTGGAACAAGATTTGACTGGGGGCCGATGCAAGAATACTTTTTCTTAGAAAGGGAAGTTGTGTAGAACAACTCAAAGAAAAGTTTCAGAATTTAGTTTGCGAACCTTCATCACCAGGAACGTTTAGGTAGAATTATGCGAAGAATTCAAAATGCTGAGAATGTCTAACCTTTCAGGAGCAGGAGTATTCAAGAAATAGACCTCCAAGTTCACAGAAAAGGAACAGAAAAGAAAGTACTGAGACAAGCCAGTATATCTATTAGAGAAGTACATAGAACATAGAACAGTACAGCACAACACAGGCCCTTCGGCCAACGAAGTTGTGCCGAAATTTTACCCTAAACCTCCGGTCTATCTAACGTCCACCCCTACCCTAGCATCCATATGCCTGTCTAATAGACGCCTAAATGCCCCTAATGAGGCCAACTCGACTAACGTCTCCGGCAATACATTCCACACCCCGATCACTCTCTGAGTGAAGAACCTACCTCTGACGTCTCCCCTATATCTACCTCCACTCACTTTAAAACTGTGCCCCGTCGTAATAGCTGCCTCCACCCTGGGAAAAAATCTCTGGCTGTCCACTCTATCTGTACCTCTGATCATTTTGT